CATCAGCCGAGATTGGCGAGTCAAGAATAGCAGTGGTATTACTATCAGTAAACTTAGACTCATAACTATTGGCCACACTATCGCTAACTGATGATCTACCAGGTGTCATATACATACTGCAAAAATGATCATGCCACTCCTGTAATGAAATACTGGGGGTAACTGGAACTGTGGATGAAAAACGTTTTAATAACTTCCAAAATGCCTTACTATTATATAAATTATCTCTCAAAGCTATAGACATTTTATCTTGGTAAGCTCGCTTCTTATCCCTCGTAACAGAAGAAAATTTATTTTTTGTCCTTAGATAATCTTTAAGAATATCATCAAGTCTACATCGTCTATAACACACAACATCCTCTCTCTCAGAGCGATAATAGCTACACTCAGAATCATACCAAGGCTGAGAATTTATAGTTTGCCATCACGACATTTACGTTTCATACATGTACCAGCTTCACATATAGCATCAGTAAATATATCAACAGACTCAATAATATTATCGAACATGCGATCTAGGCATTCATCGAACATTGAAATATTTTTATCTGACAATAGATGTTCTATGTGTACAGCTAAGATCCTTAGAAACTGAACCAAGACAAATATAACTTTATTTACAAAACACCCCACACAAGTGCCTGAGAAACGAACAGTTCTTATGTTTACAAACGGATGTATAATCGGCATATATTCTGGTGCATCCTCTCCATTCAGTGGTCAAATACCGAATAGATCCATTAATGAATTTACTGATTTAGGCGTACTTCGGGCCTTAGTCGTCACTTTCAGAATCGGTCTCGGTGTCTGAATCACTTGCCAGTCCTACTTCGATCACGATTCTGTCAATTTCGTTTTCTACTGCAATTTCCCGTTGCCAGTAGCCATCTTTAACGGACCATTCCTTGGCACCGATTGCAGACATTCTCTCGTTAATGGCAACTCTTAGCGAAGTTTTGTTTCGCAACATATGTTTTTAAAATGGCCCAAATCATCTCAATTGGGTTCAATTCTGCGTGGTAAGGAGGAAGCCATGGTACATCATGGCCATGTTGTTTCAACATAGTGTCTACTCTATAGACAGGGCCCGATTTGTTGGATTTTGCCAGACACAACAGTTCGGCTTGGAGCATTTTATCGTCAAATGCAATATTGTGCCTTTGTAACCAAGCTTTGATATCATCTTTTCTGTTAGCCGTTGTTGGACATCTGTCCACTTGCTTGCTGTGGTATGGCGCATTATCCATAAGAATGACGGAATGGGGTGGAATATGTGGGATAAATTTTTCCGGCAGCCATTTGGAAAAATTATCAAAATTCATCTCGTCATGATAATCTGCTGATTTGAGCTTTCAGTCAAATACAAGTAAAGCATTTGGTACAAAACCGTTTTCAGACCCTGCATGAACAACAATAAGCCGAGGTCCGGTACCGGACGGAGACTGTCCCCATTTATCACAACCTCACCATCAAGCTGCGGACAATGTGGTCTACATGCAACCATGTTTCATCGATAAAGATGATTGTTCGATTTTCATCTCGACATTTTTTCATTGCACGTAAGTATTGCATGCGTTCTTCGTTCCATTAAAAGCTTACGATTTGACTGTCATTCAGATTTTTCGAAAACTTTCCTTTGAACCCTGGTAATGCAATTGGCTTCTTGCCATATCATATATCATATCCAGAGTAGGCAGTTGCTTTTGTACTCCATATAAAGGTTGCACAAAATGACGGACTGCACACCGGTCAAAGTTATCAAGTTTGTGCTTGGAAGTTTAGGATTTGCGCAACTTGGTTGGACTGATTAAAAGTAGGCCTACTCGCACCCCATCACCTTCCGCTTTAATACGTTTTAAAGTTGCCTTGGAAAGATTAGTAGCAAGGCTACTTTTTGACTTAACGTCTAGTTTGGTTGCACACGTCTTTTCCATATAAATAGTAACATTGTAGGCTAACTCCCTTGCCTGAGAATGAACAATTTGACCATTCTTCCCTAACTTGGAAATGTTAGATTAATTAAAATCTGCAAACATTCACAAATTGACTCGTGTCGAGATGGTGTCTTGCTGAACTAAATCGCTCTACGAGACACGTGTTAAACAGAAGCGGTATTGAGTTCACGCCACGGTCAGCATGTATCGCACGTGCTTATCGCCAATCTACCTGTAGCAACCAAGTATGTTCGTCTAGATTCCCTGCCCCGCCTACTTGTCACAGACGCGTGGTCTGCGCAGGCTCATTTAATACGAGTCAAGCAGTATTTAAAAACTATGGTTTAGGTCATGCTGGGTATTGCTTGTATATTCTACTCTTTGGATTTGTTTTTCGTCTACTTTGAGTGCAATAATGCCTCTCTCTTATCCGCCCTGGCTCAAACGTTATTTGATGTGTAATACACACTGACTAATTACATAATGCACTGCACTTGTTGCTGAATTGAAACGTTCATTTTAAGATCTGTGACCAATGACAAATTATGACTTCCCTATCATCTGAGTACGGTACAACAATTAAACGTTTTCATGGAAATTGTTCTGCAAATAACACGGGTCTCCCATGATTTTGAGTGTAAAATATTGTTTGATCGGCCATTATGGGTTATTATCCCACGTAATCTAACATTCACACAGGGTATAAATGTTCAACCCATTTACCAACTGACCAGCAGAATCGTCGCAACATCGACAGCAGCTATGGGCATCGTCAAGTGCGCATCCGTCATCGTCATTCTCAGCTTTGTAAGTGTACCTTTCTACTTATATCAGCCACTTGTTGTTACCCTGGCTGGCACTGGGAAATGTCCGACTCTGTATTCTGTGTCTCACGGGGGTGTAATTCAATCAATCTTTATTCGGTACTTAAAAGGCCACAGTCCTATAGTACATTTATATACACAGTGTTTAGAACTGAGCAGCAGAAAGGCATATGTCAAATATTTACAGAAAACAAATTTAAACCAGATTTTCTATGTATAAATGCAAAATAAATATACATTGACAGGTTCTGTAATTCAATAATATTTTATTTTAATAATAAAGTCAGTTTTATTTCATTTGGATGGGTATAATAGTAGGATGTTAAATATGTCTTTCTAAGGTTTTCATAAACGGGGCATATAAAACGAAAATGAAAACGTTGCAAATTCTATGATTACGAGGGATATTAATATAACGGCCAGTTTCAATAAACAACTCGCGATGAGCAGCGAAAACGGGATAGCTACACGGAATTTCTTTACAGTGATTTTTGATAAATAATATTCTTGGCATAGTTCAGATTTCCAATGTTTATAATACAGACACTTGGAGGATAGAGAGATTGATTCAAGCCATGTTTGTCGATAGGTGTCTTTCATTCTTTGGGTCAGTGACATAATGAAAGAATTTTCTGATTGGGCGTTTTGATTATTCCAAACATAACAATATCCCGTTTTGAATAATTGTTTAACCTGCAGCATGATCGGCAGTACTCCAGACTTATACAAGCAACTACTCATACACACGCGCACGCGAACGCACGCAAACACATGCACGCACAAAAAAGGGGCGATGGAGTAGCGTAATGGTTTAAGTGTCCGCTCGTCAGGCTGAAGGCCTGGGTTCGATTCTCCAGATGGGTACAATGCGTGATGCCCATTTCTGGTGTCCCTCGCCGTGATATTGCTGGAATTTTGCTGGAAGCAGCGTAAAACCATACGCATTCATGTCGCAATATTATTGAACGTGACGTAAAACAAATTTTCCTTCACGTATGTCCAAAACGGACAATACCGTTCTCCAAGTAATCTAAGGCAATTCGTCATGTTCATTTGCGCCCCTTTGCCATTCAGAATCTGCTATTCTTGGTTCGAATACCGGATTCGTTCATATTATGAATCGTGATATATTGGCATCCAAGTGGTTGACTCGACCATCTTTTATTCAAACAATACAAATACCTGACATGTCGTGATATATAACTTTACGTTGTGTGACAGGGGCGGTGGGGTAGCCTTGTGGTTAAAGCCTTCACTCGTCACGCCGAAGGCCCGGGTTCGATTCCTCACTTGGGTATAATATGTGAAGCCCATTTCTGGTGTCCCCTGTCGTGACATGGCTGGAATATTGCTAAAATCAGCGTAAAACCCAACTCACTCACTCACACAAGCTATGACAGAAACATGACTACCACTCAGTTACATTATCAATTTGTGGAGTCTCCGACTAATTTTTTCTGGAATTTTGCCTAAAGTGCTGTAAACTCCCATTCATGCGAACTGGGCCTGGAACGCAGGATACTTGACGCTAATGGCATGTAGCTGAGTCATTCAAACTCACATACTGCTCTTTGAGCAGTGGGGCAACGTTGTATGAGAAGCCCCAACTAGCTTTGCGTTCTTTGGTAGTGCCAAACCTCTGCGGGTTCGAATCTCAGATTGTGTTTCTAGACCTGTCGCCACCACATTCATCCTCGTGAGTTTCGCTACAGTGGTAAACATCAGAGACCAACACCCTTCCTTGTTTCTGTCCCTTAACTGATAAGGAGTGACATAACAACCTTGCTCAACGCCAACATCTCTTAACTGTTATAAGGACTCGCTTTCTACTTCTCTTTTCCCCAGATTGCCGGCTGCTATACTCATCCGACAATTACGGATACACTTAGGTAAGCAACTTTAAACTGAATTTTAGCTTTAAAGAGCACATCGAATTCGTTAGTAATACAGACGCGAATTCTCCAATGCTTAACACCTTCATGATGATGATGGTGATGATGATTGTTAATGATGATGATGATGTGATGATGATTGTTGATAATGATGATGATGATGTGATGATGATGATGTGATGATGATGATGACATGATGATGTGATGATGGTGATGATTGTTGATGATGATGATGACGACGACGACGATGATGGTAATAATAATGATGATGATGATGAGGAGGAGGAGGAGGAGGATGGAGGGAATTATTTATCACCCGGAAGTTGTTGATCCTTTAAGATCTTGCTGTGATGATTGTTAATGATGTTGATGATGATGATGATGATGCCGCCGCCGCCGACGACGACGATGGTGATGATGGTGGTGATGATGATGATGATTGAGGGACTTATTTATCACCCGGAAGTTGTTGATCCTTTAAGATCTTGCTGTGATGATTATTAATGATGTTGATGATAATGATGATGCCGACGCCGACGACGAGGAGGACGACGACGACGACGACGACGATGATGATGGTGGTGGTGGTGGTGGTGGTGATGATGATGATGATGATGATGATGATGATGATGATGATGATGATGATGATGATGAATGATGATGATGATGATGATTGAGGGACTTATTTATCACCCGGAAGTTGTTGATCCTTTAAGATCTTGCTGTGAATGTGCCACGGTAGATTAGGTAATAAGCTGGTTAAATGCAAACAATTGATTTGACGTTGATTCCTCGCACTACACTTTTCATTTTCACTTTTTCAGAAGCTGCAGAGATGGTAATGTATGGTTTAAATATTTGTGTAAAGATTAATCAGGGACATGTAGTCAAACACCTTTCTGGCGAACTTGCATACTCCGTAAGTACTATCTAGCACAACCGAAAAGAGATAACTACCGACGAATATTCAGGGAAACATACAGTCAAATATGTCGAAGGTGAAAACTATGTAAATGGCACCTACTATGTGGAACGATGTTTATATACTGAGTCAAAAAAGAAACTTCACATTCTTTCTTCAGGGCACTATAAAAGAACAACACGATTAGGTTACCCCACCGCCCCCTAAAACCAAATAACTGAAATGGAGCTAATCTGCATTAAGTCACAGTTCTTACACTACCGTGCTTCTCAATATGAAGATTCGTAAGCCCCTACATTTGTCATGATATACTGAGTCAAAAAAAACCCTTCACATGCTTTCTTCACTTCAGGGCACTATAAAAGAACAAGAGATTGTAAGATGGTTAAAGTGTTATTGTTTAATTGCTGAGATCTGTGTGATGTACTCGATTCACTGACAGTGCCATAATCAGTTCCATTAGGCTACACCGCCGTTCCAAATCATGGGTATACAGAATGTCAAGTCACAAGAATAACAATGCGAAAGGTCTCAGTTCAATATCGTGTATGGCCGCCCCGCGCTTTCACCACTGCCAAACACCGTCTCCTCATCGACTGCCTGATGCTTGTGAACACGTGGTTGGGGATTCTGCGCCTTTGCTCTTGCAAGGCAGCGCCAAGTTCCTGCAAATTCTGGGGTTGGTTCCTAAGACCACGAAGCCTTCTCCCAAGTGCATCCCAAACATGCTCTATTGGATTAAGGTCAGGGGACCTCGATGGCCAGTCAATGACGTTGATTCCAGCGTTTTGAAAGAAATTTCGTGTCAACATCGCAGTATGCGGCCGAGCATTATCATGCTGGAACTGTAGACCTGGGCCATGAGCCGCCATGAAAGGAACGAGTTCAGGGGTGAGCACCTGGTCGCGGTAAGCAGCAGGTGTGAGGTTTCCACGGATGACCAAAAGTCGGGAACGGTTGTTCCCACAGAAAGCACCCCACACCATGCAACTTCCGCCCCCGAATCTGTCGACTTCCTGTATCCAACATTGGGCATACTGTTCACGACGTCGTCTCCAGACTCTATGCCTGCCGTCCGCGAATCTGAGGGTAAACCTGGATTCATCGCTAAAGACGACTCGATTCCAGTCTCTCTGGGTCCATCAGAGGTGACGTTGGGCCCACAGCAGACGTTGACGTTGATGAAACGGCGTCAATATTGGCCCACGATATGGACGTCGAGAATGGAGATTGGCAGCCCGCAACCGATTTCGAATGGTCTGTGAGGACAGTCGACCTCTAAACATCTCAGCCCTGGTTCGTGTAGCCGGCAGAAATCTGTCACGTAGGTGACGTAGGACGATTTGACGGTCTTCTGCTCGTGACGTCACACGTGGACGACCCGACCTTGGGCGATCAGAAGTGGTGCCAGTTTGTTGTAGACGACCTCGCAAGTCATACACAGTACGACGGCTGCATCCCATTGTTCTTGAGACGTCAATAACTGATCTTCCCGCTTGCAACATACCAACGGCACGTTCACGCTGCACATTTGACAATCGTGGCATTTCAAGTACCGTTAGAACTGTGGTTTAAAAGTGTTTTTAATTCTTGAGGCCAATGCAAACATGTGCATATGAAGAAAACTTCGATGCGAAGATCACGTGATCGACTGCACGTGCAAAACCTGATTTGGCACTAACGTCATTTGCACGACGAATGGATGGGTTTGAGTGGGTTTTGCTAACGTTTTTCTAGAGTCGAAAGATAGGGATCCCATTTCGGATACATAGATATATCATCAGAACAAAATTATTCATTATTTTTCAAATTACATTTTGTGAAGTTTCTTTTTTGACTCAGTATATATCGAGTTATCTAAGGTTCGGCAAAACTTTAAACTAACACCATAAGTAGGTGCAGCGTTTGGTGGGTTCGAATCCAAATTCCTGTCTTTGTTCTTGGTCAGCATCATGCCCTTTGTTCGTGGGTTTCACCGAGTGAGTGAGTGAGTTAATAGGGTTTACCCCGCTTTTTAACAATATTCCAGCAATATCACTGCGGGGGACACCAGAAATGGGCTTCACACATGGTACTCGTGTGGGGAATCGAACCCGGGCCTTCGGCGGGACGAGAGAACACTTGAACCACAAGACTACACCACCGCTCGGGATTCACCGAAGTGAAACCGATGGAAGACCTCGATCTATCCTCCCACTTCAAGTTGTGTAACTTGGTTTGGTTTGATTTATTTGGTGTTTAACGCCGCACCCAGCAATATTCCAGCTATATGGCGGCGGTCTGTAAATGATCGAGTCTGGACCTGACATTCCCGTGATCAACATCATGAGCATCAATCTACGCGATTGGGATACGACGACAGTGTGTCAACCAAGTCAGCGAGCTTGACCACCCGATCTATTTAGTGGCTTCTTACGACAAGCATGGGCTGCTGAAGATCATTTCTAACCCGGATCTTCACGGGAAGCCTGTGCATTTATCTGCTGTTCGAAGCGGAGTTAAACGATGCTACGTTGTCTGCTAGGTTCCTGTTTCGCGCTACCTTAAAAAGCCTTCTGTTCTTTTTAAGAATCGGTTCTTAACTAGTCCTGATTGAAAACCTTTGGTGATTTCTAGTCCAGTAATACTGACAATTGGGGTAGAACAAATTGCAATAAAAACAAATTTTGCTGAAACCTGTAAGTTTTAACATATCAAAACTATATAAATGTGTCATGAACGATTTTGTTCGAAAAAGTTATTTTTTGGTAATGCCAAATTGTGTACATCCGATACGGAAAAACAGATGGCCGCTGTTACTCGCTGTGATTCCGTATATTGCATCACGTAAACAAGATGGCCGATAAGCGTATCGTCGCAGGCGACTCAACGCAATCACGGCAATTGTTTACATACATTTACAAGTTAACTGACATCATTAATTTCTAATATATACGTTGTATATATTATCGCTCAAGGCAGCGAATCATTGACGTAGTGGATACTGAACGAAATTTCACTTCGAGCTATTGACGCCATTCAACGTTCATGACACACAGTTCACTGAAAAAACACGCAAAACCAAAAAGTGAGACATAATTTGGCATGTTGTTACATTCTAATTGTTAGAAAAGTAAAATAAAAGCTTTATTCTTTATCAAGACACCCCGTATAATCTCCAATATTCGGGTTAGAATGAGTATTACCAGCCTCTGCTGATAGTGAGAGGCGACTCTTGGAAACGTTTCCCAAGAGCGTGGAGTGTTGCTTATACTATGAACCACGGGAATATCTAGTCCATGCACTGTTATTCACAGTTGTATCATATATTCCTTAGTGCGGCGTTAGACAAAAACAAATATGTAGAAATAGAATCAAACACACTTATATCGAGAGTCTTCAAGTTATCAACCGCAAAAATAACGGCTACATAAGGAACTCCCGGGAACCGACCTTTTACTTCGAGACAAGCATAATGTCGACACATCAAGGTTCTCTACAACGGTGTTTGGCTGCAGTCCTTTTTGGCTCTAACTTTATGCAAATTCTATGCTTAAATTTACCCTGGGGGGGGGATCGTTTTAGCTGTTGTATTTTGGTTTAACTTAGGCATTTTCTTTTGTTGTTGTTGTTGTTGCTTGTTGTTGTGGTGTATACCTATGGCACCTTGACGTAATATTTCAGCTTGCAAACAGAAACCACTGGACTTGGCCTTTGTAATCGACTCTTCATTCAGTATATCGCCGGAGGACTTTACACTAGGGATGTGGTTCGTGGAGGACTTTATAGATATTTTCGAAGTGGGCCCCCTGGCCGTGAGGGCCTCCGTAGTGACGTTTGGCGACCGCGTGTACGAAGAGGACGCCTTTGGTTTCAACAGCTACACCGATAAGAGGTCCTTGAAAAAGGCAATATCGATTATCCCCTTTAAGGGTGGGCAAGCCACGGAGACCGGGGCTGGCATCCAGTTCATGAGAGACAGATTTCTCCCTCACGCCCGCGAAGGGGTTAAGACTGTGTGTATTGTGTTGACCGACGGCAAATCCCAGAGACCGGAAGTGACGGAGAAACAAGCCCGGATCACCCGAGAGGCCGGCGTGGAGATGTTTGCTGTTGGCATCGGCCGTAGTGTGTCAGAGGAAGAACTGAGGAACATCGCCGGCGTTGATGACCACGTGTTTACTGTCACTGGTTACAACCTTCTGGGCACCATCAGATCAAGGCTCGCTTTTCAGTCATGTGGAGGTAGGTAAATCCATCCCCATCCTGTCCATTCGTAACTACTCGCCTCTCCGTGACCTACAAGAAGACTCGTACCCCTATCGTACGCCATTATTGCCAAGAACCGTGGCAAACCAATCAAATCGCGCCTAGTAAAACGCATTTCGAAGCATGAAAATGGCGGCACCGTTGAAGTTTGAAACTTCGCTAAACTATGCAAAGCACAATTTAAACATAAACTTTGAGCTAAAAGATCAGAAACTTTATACACTGAAACATATTTACAAAGGGAATGACTGTATTGCTGTTTTGCCCACGGGATATAGGATATTCTTGGAGGCATGTTTGGAAATTCAGAGTTATCTTTCCTTGGCAATAGTACTAGACTTATTTCATCTCCATGCCCGTTTGCGCTTAGACAGGGCCCAGTCGTAAACATCGCCACGAGAGGGGTACGAGACGCCATCCGGCTTGCCGGAATGACACGAGTAGTTACGAATGCATCCTGTCATGCCTTCGTCAACACTCGCCCCTTTCCGTAACCATTCAGCTTGTTTCGGAATAACACGAATGGTGACGAATGCCCGCCATGAAGAAACTGCAGAAAATTATCTGTAGACAAGAAAAAAAATAAATTAAGCTTTCGTAGAAAGAGAAAATATACAAACCTGGTGGATAAACTGGAACGGGCACGACATTGCTATTAGATGGTGATGTAGTTAATATGGATATCATAGCCTTGATTTGAACATACAGCCTGCAGTATTGTTTTCAGAACATGTTATGAGCACGTTTGCAATTTTGTTTCTCAAATCCAGTTTTCAAATGTATCCTTTCTTAAGGATAAGTAAAAACAATGGGGGTTTGTAAGTTAGTGCATTTAGAATACATCGGTGCCGAGAAATTTGATATTACGTTAATTTATTAAAGTATTCTTAAAACAACAACGACTTCATTGTTAACGTACAGCAACTAAAGACTGAATATAGAACAATTTATTAATATTGAGGTGTGTAAAGTTTTGGAAGCAGTCTTATGAGTAAAGGCTATCGGATATGAAGTTAATGCGAAATGATTTCTCACAGAGCTGATCTAACGTCCAATCTTCCAATTATTTCAGAGGAACCTATTTCAAGAGTTGGTAAGTACCATAGGCCCTAAAGAGGAATATTTGAGTTTGTCCTGAATGTTTACTTCAGGAGAGAATGGGAACCCAACTCTGAATGAACTCAGTAAAATTTGTGAGTGAGTGGGTGAGAGAGTTTAGTTTTACGCCGCACTCAGCAATATTCCAGCTATATGGCGGCGATCTGTAAATAATCGAGTCTGGACCAGACAATCCAGTGATCAACAGCATTAGCATCGATCTGTGCAACTAGGACAGTAAAATATGTGCGTATTTGTAACTCAGAGCACATGAATACTTCCACGGTATTTGAAATTATATAATAACTTATAGACTCGGTATTTTGGTACATTGTCTGGAATATGGGTCACAGGTGGCCAAGTCGACCAAGGCGCCGCAATTAGCTGTACAGAGTTGTGTCCCTTAGACATGTGGTAAACCTGCTGGCCGCGGGTTTGAATCCCGGCTCGTCAGTATTACATTTCTGGGTTTGTTAGTGCCATAATTGAAAAAAAGTGGTAAATATATTAATGAGTGAGTTTAGTTTTACCCACATATAGCAATATTCCAGCAATATCATCCTAAAATGGGCTTGATACATTGTACCCATGTGGGAAATCGAACCCAGGTCTTCAACGTGACGAGCATACGTACCATTTGACTACCCCACCGCCCCTGTAAAACATATTATACTTGCATTCCTTAGGTTCCTCCCGCTCGTAGCTGACAGGTCGTAATCATATCACTTGCTCTCTTTACCTCATGTATTCAAGCACTGTTGTGTCGAATGTTGATGTATCGAACTTATGGCTGTCTCGAAATATACGTTTTGAAGTAAAAGTCTCCAAGTAAAGGACTCTTGGTATGATTTCTTCATTCGTCATGTTTTGGTTGTGTCGAACTCGGATAACTCGAAGTATCTACGTAGGACCCTTCAACTTCGATATAACGATGCTTAACTGCACTATTATTGATACGCGTATATTTTCAGTGTGTCGTGACAGCCCCATCGACGTCAGCCTTGTCATCGACGCCTCCTCCAGCATCGGCCCCACCAACTTCACCATCGGGTTAGACTTCCTCGAGAACTTTGTCAGGAGCTTCGAAATCAACCCTCACCGAGCCAGATTTTCCGTCATCACCTACGGCCTAGGCACCTACAACAACACGGCTTTCGACTTCGATGACTACAGAGATGAAGTGAGCCTCGTGAAAGCCATCGCCGGCATACGCTACACCGGTGGCACCCACACCGACACAGGTCTCGGCATTGAGTACATGCGAGACAGGCAGATGCTGCCCAAACAACGCGCCTATGCGGCTCACATCGCCATCGTGATGACCGACGGGCAGTCTCAGGACAAGGAGAAGACTCAGAAAGAAGCGGCTAAGGCTCGAAAAGACGGTATCAACATGTTCGCCATCGGTGTCGGTTTAAGCCTCTCAGGAGAAGAGCTGCTGAACATCGCTGGACGGAAAGAACAGGTGTTCACTGTGACGGACTACAAAGCTCTGGAAACAATCCATAATGAACTGGACATCAGGACGTGTAGAATAGGTATGTCCTTCAATGATTGCTCAAAACATGTACGAGGTAATATAGACTAACGAATATATTTTTAATAGCAATAGTAACAAATAAACCCGTTTAAATTGAAAAGGAGCCCCAGGGAGACCAGAGATTCAGAACCTGGGTAAATCTAGACTTGCTTGATTTAGGGGTTTAGCATTGCATAGAGGGCTAGGCTGTAGGGAAAATAATATGGTTCAGGGACTATGGGACAGACCACATTCAGGTTATTGGTCAGGATCTTTATACAGGAGACCTCGTAACTCGGGGAGATTTATACAGGAGACCTCGTTACACAGGGAGATTTATACAGGAGACCTCGTTACACAGGGAGATTTATACAGGAGACCTCGTAAGTCGGGGAGATTTATACAGGAGACCTCGTAACACAGGGAGATTTATACAGGAGACCTTGTAACTCGGGAAGATTTATACAGGAGACCTCGTTACTGAGGGAGATTTATACAGGAGACCTCGTAACTCGGGAAGATTTATACAGGAGACCTCGTTACACAGGGAGATTTATACAGGAGACCTCGTTACTGAGGGAGATTTATACAGGAGACCTTGTAAGTCGGGAAGATTTATACAGGAGACCTTGTAAGTCGGGGAGATTTATACAGGAGACCTCGTTACTGAGGGAGATGTATACAGGAGACCTCGTTACACAGGGAGATTTATACAGGAGACCTTGTAACTCGGGAAGATTTATACAGGAGACCTCGTAAGTCGGGGATACTTATACAGGAGACCTCGTTACACAGGGAGATTATACAGGAGACCTCGTAACTCGGGGAGATTTATACAGGAGACCTCGTTACTGAGGGAGATTTATACAGAACACCTCGTAAGTCGGGAAGATGTATACAGGAGACCTCGTAACTCGGGGAGATTTATACAGGAGACCTCGTTACCGAGGGAGATTTATACAGAACACCTCGTAAGTCGGGGAGATGTATACAGGAGACCTCGTAACTCTGGGAGATTTATACAAAAGACCTCATTCCTCACTGAGATTTATACAGGAGACCTGGTAACTCAGGGAAATTTATACAGGCTGAGCCTTCAAGTAACGTTTGGTTTAGCCCATTGGTTCTTAAAAGTGCATTCATATCTATATGTTTAATCTTTTACTTGTTTTGGGGTGTTTTTTGAATTTTATTTATATATAAAATTGACATCCTTTATTGCTCATTTCTGCCGGCACTTGATCACGTGTTATTGGTGCCTTTCAGTTCTTCATCAGTTCGGCCAGGTACGCCCATCGGTTGCATAAAACTGGATACAACAAACGGTTTTCGACTACAACCATTCTCTGTAATACCGTTGAAAGGTATAAATGTGCAGCGAAATAAATATTTGCATTACAAGGCTTTTGTTGAATTACTGAAGTCAGCAGCTGCTTTTCTGCCATCTTCGTAAAGAAATCGTACCATAAAATATAATGTGACATAATAATGTGAATCTTCTCTTGGTCTAATGCAATGACGTCACACTAAGTGAATACGTTAGACTCAACACGGCTGTAACCAATGGCATATCACCATGTGTTACCGTTATACTGAGAGAGTATGGTATTACGCACCTTCTAGGAGTAGTCTGGCAATATCACGACTGGGCACAAAGGAAATGGGCATCACACGTTTCACATCCTCTAAATCTCCAGGGAAACCAACAGGAACCCTTGAATCAATTAACTTGGACTATAATACTCACAAACATGCGGACGTTTCAATTTCCACAGAAAACAGAGACAAACTTAAAACAATATAAAATGATTTAAATGGCTGAACCATGTAGAAAATGTAAATTTGTTCCTGTGATTGAAATAGCAATGTTTATATACTATCCCCAAAAAGAAACGCATAGGCCAGAATTCTGTTGCGAAAATGTTCTATTCTCAAACATGTGTAACTCGTCCACAAATAGGTTTTAGTACATGAATGTTTACACCAGTTTAGAAGAAGGTAATGTCTATACAACCAAGTGGATATTGTTAGATAACCGAGACGTTGAGCGCGATGGTGACGGCGTAGCACGGTCCCGACGTCGGGTCTCCTGGCTCTCAGACCAATCTATTTCAACCTGTTCCGTACAGTTTGCCCGGATATCCTCCGAAGTTCAGGCACCCTGGCTGCTGTGTTCTCACCCGTGGCAGTACGATCACGTAAAATGTAGTACCCGGATGTACCGATCTTGGGTTGCAGTGGTGACTCGAGGTCTGCCTGTACGGGGACGGTCATTTGTTATACCTGTTTGGTTGTAACGAGCTGCAAGTCGTGATATCGTGCTCAGACTAACATTCAGACGCCTGGCAACAGAAGATTGGTAATCTCCAGCGTGTATTCTTTCAATAGCGATGTTCCGTGTCGCAGAGTCAAGACGTGGCAAGGTGATTTGACCTTGAAACTCCTTCAAAACGAATGCCAATTTCCAAAAGTAATCTTGATTTTTATTGCCAGACAGTGCATGCTCTTTGCTGCACAGTTTCACCTGGAAGGTGATTTCTGTTGCCTTGTGGCGATGCCTCTTTAATCCTTGTAAGAAATCTCATCAAAATCAACATTTTCATGTAAAATCGATTTTTTACTTGTGCAGTTGTGTAAATCATGTTATCAACACTTTCGTTACATATTTTGACGATTGTTTGAACACAATAGCTAATTAATAGATTTTTAAAAATACATATCGCCTATGCGTTTCTTTTTTGGGATAGTATATGTTACAGGGAATGTGCGATGCCAGCGATTTCACGTAATCCCTAAAAGAGTCCCCAGGGATTTCATGTAAAATGTCAAGGGATTTTATAAACTACTGAAATGTTGGCTCAGGAATTTCATGAACCCACTGCCAGCCTTTAGTGAAACAGAGAACACCAAATTAATAATGCGAGTACAGTGCATATGCTGATACCTTTCATTTGTTGGGACAAGTTAGACTGTTATGACACCGGCTATTAAACTTCAGTTCTGCTTTAAAACTTTACAACGTCTCGATTTACATTGGTTTGGACCGCAGTTGCAGTTACATAGATCAACTCCTAAGATCTGAGGGATGAAACGGCAACTCAGCAGTAAAGTGTAAAGCTACACAATAATAATAATAATAATAATCTACTTCTATAGCGCCGAGTTCCAGCTAGGCTGCTAACAGGCGCGTGTGCAGTTCAGTCTATTTCATTTCAAATAGATGTGTCTTTAAATGTTTTCGAAAAGTTTGTAGACTTGGGGCGGATTTTAGCGACATAGGGAGGTTGTTCCATAGCATGGGAGCTGCACATTCAAAGCAGCGGTCCCCGTATTTGGTCCTGGATGGTCTGGTGATAAGCAGATCTTTATCTTGTGATCTAAGGGTTCTTGTTGGTCTATGGTTGTTTAGAAGAGATGACAAGTAAGATGGAGCAGTGTTGGTCTTCAGGCACTTGTAGATAATGGTAAGCACCTTGAATTTTATGCGTCTGGCAACGGGTAGCCAATGCAGTTCTCTTAACCTGGGGGTGATGTGGTCTCTTCGAGGACAACGAGTTATTATCCTGGCGGCTGTGTTTTGTATAACCTGGAGTCGATGAACCAGGGAAGCTGTTATCCCAAACAAAAGTGAATTGGCATAGTCAAGGCGAGATATGACTGTTGCTTGAGTGAGAGTTTTGGCGGTTTCATCTGAAAGATATCGTCTTAGTTTACCAATCTGATGAAGATGATAGTGAGAAGACTGGCACATTTGGGTGACACATTATTTCCACGCATTCACTGATATCCATCCTAACAAGGAATGTGTGTAATGGAACATCATGAAAATCAGTAATTTCATTAACTCCCTTGAAACTTTAGGGAATAAATGAAATCCATGGGGGTCACAGTGATTTCACGAAATCACGGACCCTTTTAGGCATTGCGTGAAATCCCCCGTTCCTCAAAGCGATCGTAGCGCTACAACAGTCGTAGGTCTATGTTAAAGTATGGGAGTCACGATCGCTTTGACTGACTGACTGAGTTTGGTTTTACGCCGCTTTTAGCAATATTCCAGCAACATCACGGCGGGGGACACCAGATATGGGCTTCACACATTGTGCCCGTGTGGGGATTCGAACCCGGGTCATCGGCATGACGACGATCGCTTTGAGGAACGGGACCCAGGTCTAAGGTTCTTCTGTGCATCACAGTGTGACTCAATATTTGTGATCCTTTGGAGAAACAATAGCGACATGCATGCACACCTGTGTATGTGCGTACAGTGGACTCTGTATGATCCGACACTCACTGGGACCGGGAACAAATGTCGGATTATACAGAGTGTCGGATAATTCAATGCCTCCTTGCTTGAATCCTTTTCAAACAGTACCATACATTGTAATTGGCTTATATCATGAAATTAATGCTTAATAACTATTTTCGTGGTAAATAAAAGGGGAAAAAGCAAATTCTGTATTTACATGTACATGTATATCATTGGCTATATTATCTTCAGTACAATATACATACGTGTACTACTATCACAATCATATTCACACTTTCATGAAAAAGTCCTCCATTGTAGACTGGCGCTTCCTCATTTTCGACTCCAGTGCAACGTTATTTATTGCTGACAGTGACAATTCAAGTTGACACCACTGACTCATATATTATTGATCTAACCAAATAAATTGACCCCTTTTCTCAGCCCATTCTGCCTATGCTTGACAAAACATACCTCGGTCCTCACGGGGTCTCCTCGTTTTGCCACCACCCTATTGGTAAGGGTGGCGAAGCAGTCCACTGTACATGGGAAATCGACTGAGTTGGTTTTACGCCGCTTTTAGCAATATCCCTGCAATATCACGGCGGGGGACATCAGAAATGGGCTTCACATATTGCACCCATGTGGGGAAACGAACCCGGGTCTTCGGAGTGACGAGCGAACGCTTTAACCACTAAGC